CACAGGCTGTCCAGGAGTTGGGGGATGCTTTAGTCCAGGTGTGGGAGGAGATCCCTCAGGAGACCATCCGCCACCTCCTCAGGAGCATGCCCAGGCGTTGTAGGGAGGTCATACAGGCACGTGGAGGCCACACACACTACTGAGCCTCATTTTGACTTGTTTGAAGGTCATGACATCAAAGTTGGATCAGCCTGTAGTGTTTTTTAACACTTTAATTTTGAGTGTAGATCCAAATCCAGACCTCCATGGGTTGCTCAATTTGATTTCCATTGATAATTTTGGTGTGATTTTGTTGTCAGCACATTCAACTATGTAAGTATTTCATAAGAATATTTCATTCATTCAGATCTAGGATGTCTTATTTTTGTGTTCCCTTTATTTTTTTAAGCAGTGTATATAAAATGCCTAGAATGATGAAGAATCAAATACAGAGATGTATAACACGGTCATAGAAGACATTTACAATGTAAACCCTGCTATAGTAATGTTGCAAAGTGCGTAAATTTGTTTTTAAATGTTAAAACGTTGAATATATAAATTTATTTTAAAAAAATGTTCCCCAGTAATATCTGGTAGAAGAGATAGGAAAATGGTTATAGTCAGGGGTGGGATTCTACCAGTTCGCACCTATTCGCTAGAACCGGTTGTTAACATTCTAAGCAGTTTGGAGAACCGGTTGTTAGAAGAAATTACAGGGCTAATCCTGTAAGGAAGGCAGGAAGGAAACATTCTGGTGTTGCTTACAGAAACTGCCTCTCCGTTAACCCTTATTACATTCTTGGCAGGACTAGACAGGAACGTCTCTGGAGTATTTTTCCCCCCTCCTTTGCTGGTCCTTTGCTTGTATGGAGGGACCATTCAGAGTTACAGTGGCACTGAAAAAAGTGACTTATGACCATTTTTCACACTTACGACTGTTGCAGCATCCCCACAGTCATGAGAGGACAGGCGAGGAGATGCGTGCCTCGATGTGAGTGATATTGAGTTGGCCACGCCCAGCCAATAAACATGACCGCCAAGCCATGTCCACCCAGTCACATGACCACCAAGCCACGCCCATCCCCTAAGCCACGCCCACAGAACCGGTTGTTAAAAAATTTGAATCCCGCCCCTGGTTATAGTAAAGAACAGTGGAAACAAGGAAGAGAAGGGGAAATAAGGCGAACAGAGGGGAAAACAACGCCCCCCCCCCCCCCCCCCCCCCCCCACACACACACGGCCCTTCAAACACAAGCCTGATGCGGCCTCGGGGACTGAAGGATAAAACATTCAAAGAATGGTTGCAGGCAATGGGTACGTCTCGCTTAATGAAAAGAAGGACTTGGGGTGACCTGATAGCGGTCTTCCAATTTTTGAGGGGCTACCACAGAGAGGAGGGGGCCAAGCTATTCTCCTGAAGGCACCTGAAGGCCAGACAAGGAAGTTAGCACCACCACCCCCCCGCCCCCAGGAAAATGAAATAGTTTAGGATATATACTAAAAAGGCAGAATATTTCCCCGAAAAAGAGAAGTCGAAACTCAGAAAGCAGAAACTCAGCCCCACCACCACCATTGCTAATGGGCCATTACTCTGGCCTAGGCCAGCCTATTTGACATAACAAAGACCTGCTCCAGGTAGAGCGACACTAGGAATGGCCCAAGCTCTTTCATTTGACATCATCATCCAGCAAGGCTCCACCAAGCCTGGACAGCCTACGTGGCCCCATGGGAGCCCGAGAACCGATCCGAATACAAGCTCAAATTCAAACCGCCAGAAGGGAGTATAAAACCACGGCCCTCTCCGCCTCTCAGCCCTTTTTCCCCCCTTCTTTCTTCACCCAAGGCAGGTGATCCTGTCCGCCTTTATACCACCTTTCCAAGCAGTCGCCAGGGTGTTTCCAGGGTCTTTCTTCCCCCACTTGGAACTGAACCCAGAAGGATAATTTCTTCCAACAGTTTCCCAGGGAAATGTTTGGCCTACCTTTCTGTTGGAAGTTAGCACCCACCCCTCTCCTGGGAAAATGAAATATTTTAGGATCTACTTAAAAAAAAAAAGAATATTTCCCCTAAAAAGAGAAGTAGAAACTCAGAAGCAGAAACTCACCCCCTGCCACACACACACACCGTCTTTGTTAATGAGAGGGCCATTAAGGCCTGGGCCAGAGTATTCTACATAACAAAGGCCTCTACCCATCTCGCCACCTGGCACCTGGGAAGATTGCATCCGCCGGCACTCAGGTGAAGCCATGTGGTCCAGACAAAGCCTACGAAAGTTAGCTAAGCCCCCCCCCCTGCCCCCCCGTCCATGGGAGCCTGGCAGCCAGCGGGATGCATTTCTTGCACAGGAACAGGAAACCCTAAGGTGAGGCCCAAGAGAGGTGATATAACTTGGGGTCTCTCGGCATCTCAGTTCTTTCCCCTTCCCTTCTTTTCCTTCCCCCAACATCTCGAAGCACCTGATCGTCCTTTTCACTTTGGAGCTCCAAGGCATCCGTGGTCCTGTCCGCCCTTAAACCATCTTTCCAAACCAGCCTCCGTGTTTCCAGGGTTTGTCTTCCCCCGTGTGGAACTGAGCCCCGAAGGATAATTCTTCCAACAAAGCGACGGATAGAAACTCATCCAGGAGAGAAGCAACCTGGAAATAAGGAGAAATTTCTTGACAGTGAGGACAATTAACCAGGGGAACAGCTTGCCACTAGAAGTTGTGAATGCTCCATCACTGGAGGCTTTCAAGAAGAGATTGGACAACCATTTTCCGAAATGGTCTGGCTCTCCTGGCTGGGGAATTCTGGGAGTTGAAGTCCACAGACCTTGAAGCTGCCATGGTTGGATAGCCCTGCTGAGGGAGGAATTCTGGGAGTTGAAGTCCACTCATCTTAAAAGTTGCCAAGTTTGGAAAACATTGTTCCCAAAAATACTTTCCATGGGTTGTTCACTCACCCTGGTTGTATGCCAAAGTCTTCCACATAAGTAACCTTGCTGCTTCTGTGTTTTGATGAAAAATATTCTCTGTGGCCTGAGGGGAAAAAAGAACAAAGCTACCTGACCACAAGGTAGCATTGAATTTCATGCTCACCTGTAAAGGTAAAAGCAGCTTTAGCAATTAAAATTGGGTTCCAAAAGAGGAATCCCAAATCCTGTACTGCAGCTCCCTCTAGTGGCTGTCAAGCAGACAAGCAGCCACAAAATTAAAATATATTTACAGGTCGCTTCATTTCCAGGTACTTTAGTCCCGGGCTTAAAACGAGCACAACGGTTGCTATGTCAAAAAGGTGTTCAGTGAGTTTTGCCCTATTTTACGGCCTTTCTTGCCGCTGTTGTTAAGTGAATCACTGCAGTTATTGTTGCTAGCACGGCTGTTATGTGAAATCTGGCTTCTCCCGTGGACTTGGCTTGTCCGAAAGTTGCAAAAATCACATGACCTGGGACATTGCAACCATCATAAGTACCATGCTTCCCTGAAAATAAGACCCTGTTTTACGTGTTTGTTTTTTTTCCCCACCAAAAAAGGCACCGGGTCTTATTTTTGGGGGACATCATCCACTGACTCACCTCACTTGCGCGCGTCGCCCCGGCCTCCTTCTGGAACTTCTTCTTCTGTGGCCAGCTGCGGCTGATAAGAGAGCTCTGGATCGATCCAGGATTTTGTGATCAGCTCCATATGCCTTCCAGAAAGCCACGCGAGCCTTGCTGGCTGCAGAAGAAATGGGCCGGCAAGGCAGGTGTCAGGGTGTGTGAGGCCTGGCCACACCTGTCCAAAGGTAAGTAGTAGGGCAGTTCCACCCCACTCTAGCTTAATTTTTACCCATCCACTCTGGAGTGGGTGGGATTTTAATTGGGGTTTATTTTGGGTAGGGCTTATATTGGTGCATGTGTAAAAATCAAGCTAGGACTTACTTTCAGGGTAGGTCATATTTTCAGGGAAACAGGGTACATGCCAGTTGCCAAGCCTCCAAATTCCAATCACATGAAGATGCTGACAAAGGCGTCAGTGTGAAGCATGGCTGTGCCGTTGTAACTTCGAACAGTCACTAAACAAACGGCTGCAAGTCACTTACGACAATTCAGGTAACAGATAATCAGAGTTGGAAGGGACCTTGTAGGTCATCTAGTCCAACCCCCTGCCCAAGCAGGAGACCCTACACCATTTCTGACAGGTGGGTAGTCCAGTCTCTTCTTGAAAGCTTCCAGGGATGAAGCTCCCACAACTTCCAAAGGCAACTTCTGTTCCATGGGTGGATTGTTCTCCCTGTCAAGAAAATTCCTCCTTATTTCCAGGTTGAATCTCTCCTTGGTCAGTTTCCATCCATTCTTCCTTGTCTGGCCTTCGGGTGCAATGACAATAAAGTAAAGTAAAAAGAACTTTGGAGACGATGTTTGGAGGTTTTGTGGAACGCTGACGTCCTCTTTGGCTGACAAAAGTTCAACCTATTGAAAGGTTTCTCGCTGCCCGCCAGGTCAAAACCAGGAACCCAGCGGGATGCTGGTTACTCATTGTCCCACCGGGGCCCATAAAATGGGGAAGCACCCAGGGGAAGCACCCAGAGTTTATCCAGAAAAGTCCTTGAATGGCAACACCTTGAACTCAGCACACCTGACTCACTTCTCCATGCACCGCAATAAAATCATATAACTGGGACGCCTATAAAAACTGGGTGATTACGGCCGCCTCTGTTTTTTTTTGCGGACCGAGGGCGCCCGGGGCCAGTCATTGTACGTGAGTGTCTGCTTTGAGAGCCCGGGGTGGGGGGTTGCTGGAGGGGGGAAACCAGACCCTAAAATGGGTCCCGCTGGTACGGAGGACCGCAAGGTGTGGAATTTACCTGCAGATCCACTTTCTGGAGTGAAAAATCGATTGAAGCTTTCTTTTTTCCCCTTCTGGTGTGTGTGTGTGTGTGTGTGTGTGTGTGTGTGTGTGTGTGCAGCTAGGAAGATTTTTGGGAAGACCCTTCAAATCCGTGGAAGCATTAAGAGCCTCCCCACTCTTGTCTCTTTTTCCAGCTTGGGTTCGGAGCACGAGAATGGAAGGCGTCTCTTACCCAAAGTTCCTCTTGGTTGCGGCCATTGTGCCAGGCGTCGTGGCAGGTAAGCAGAGCCCTGCATCCAACAGGCCAGGTGTTAGTGGGATTCCTAGCGTGCAAATGGGGATTATCCCAAAGGTGCTTTTTTTTTTCCCCTTCTGTTTCTTTCTTTGAAGACGTTTTGCTTCTCATCCAAGGAGCTTCTTCAGCTCTGACTGGATGGTGGGGAAGGGAAGGATTTATATTCCTTGCAGACAGCTGGTCCTTTGCATCCTTTGAGAGGGTCCTTGAGGGCCACCTGTGTCTTCAGGGTCACCTGAGTGTGGTGCAAATGGTTCCTTGTAGTCTGCAGTTTTTACCTCTGGAAATCCATTCCTACTCCCACACTATTAATAGGAAGGAATCCTCTGGAAATCCCAGAATGGATCCACCTATTCTCCAAAACCCCTGAAAGGCAGGACAAGAAGCAACGGATGGAAACTAATCAAGGAGAGAAGCAACCTAGACTTCAGGAGAAACTTCCTGTCAGTTTTATTCTGCAGGGACTGAGCATCCTCGCTGTTGAGCTTGGTTTTCTCGCAGACATTTCATGACCCGACTAGGGAACATCATCAGTGCTAAAAGGGAGCGGAGTTTGCAAAGAGGGGCAGGACAAGGTGCAATGGATGGAAAGTAATCCAACGTAGAAGTACGGAGGAATTTCCTGACAGTGAGAACAATTAGCCAGTGGAACAGAAGTTGACTCCAGAAATTGTGGGTTCTCCATCACTGGAGGTTTCTAAGAAGAGATTGGGCAACCGTTTGTCTGAAATAATATAGGGATTCCTGCATAAGCAGGGGGTTGGACTAGAAGACCTCCAAGGTCCCTTCCAACTCTGTTATTTTATTATTCTATAGAAGGGAGGGAGGGAGGAAGACTCTTAAGTATTATACAGTGTGGGAAAACTGGTACAAATGAACAAATAACAGAAATAAACAATTAAATAACTAAGGAATGAATAGCTGAAGATGGACAATATATAAGAACAACCAGGACTATGAAATACGCATGGGAAAAAAATAATTGGTATGCATGCACCGTCAAAACAGTTTGTAACATCTGTAGTGTTTTCATTTTAATGAGTGGTATTGTATTTTGTATTTGATGTTTTTCAATGTTTAATAAAGGTTTTTCCAAAAAGAAAGAAAGAAAAGGGAGGGAGGAAGGCAGGCAGGCAATAGATGGAAACTAATCAAGGAGAGAAGCAACCAGGAAATAAGAAGAAATGAACAATTCACCAGTGGAACAGCTGGCCACCAGAAGTTGTGAATGCTTCAACACTCTTTCAGAAGAGTTCTGGACAGCTACCTGTCTGAAACGGTTTAGGGTCTTTTGCTTGGGCAGGGGGTTCGGCTAGAAGACCTCCAAGGCCCCTTCCAATTCTGATTAACCCCTTCGTCCCTCAGGCCTAGAGCTGTCCATCAACGCCAACACCGCGGACTATGAGCTGGCGACCGAGGTGGGCCTGAGCCAGTCCCTCTGGTGCGCCGTGAAGCATCCCAGCCAGGCAGAGGAACTGCTGTGGATGCGAGGGGACAGGGAGGTCAGCCTGCAGGAGGGGAACCGGGTGAATGCCAGCAACGTCTGCATCTCCCCTGTCACAGACGAGGACAACGGCGTTTCCTTCACCTGCCACTTGGCCCGGGACAAATCCGTCCAGATCTCTGTGCTGCTGAACGTCACCTGTGAGTGGCAGTTTTATATATATATATATAGTTTTAAATTGGAAGTTGTACAAAGGAGAACAGAAGCAAACTAGGCAAACTTAGCAGAAGGAAAAAAAGCAGAAAGGGGATAAAAGGAAGACAGCGGGAGGAGGGAGGAAAAAGGGACAGGGAGGTGAGGAGAGAGGGAAGGAGGAAGTGAGAAAGGAGGGAAAGAGGGAGGGAGGGAGGGAGGAAG